GCTTAACCGACTGAGCCACCCAGACACCCAGTCATAAGCTGTTTCTAGTAAATAAGCTGTTTGTGGCTGGAAGACTGCATTATTTTGAGAGTTCTATCAGTTTCTCCTAGAGAAAGTCCATGGATACAAAGTAGTCCTAGTGTTAAAGCAGTAATGCTGTTAGACCCTCCCCTCACCCCCCACTGTCCAGCATGGTAGCCACTCACAAAGTATGGCTATTTAAAACTAAGTTTAAATTCATTAAAGTTAAAAATTCAGTTCTAGCCACGTTAGCTGCATTTCCAATGAGTAATAGCCACACGTGGCTAATGGCTACCATCATGGAAAGGTCAGACCAGGAACATTTCCATCACTGTAGAAAGTTTTACTGAATGGTAAGTTTTTATTATAATTAAATTAGTGGTTGTAAAGAATTCTCCAGTATAAAGTGTCTTTAACTGGTCATTCTGTTCTGCCTCAATATTTCTTCATAGTTATATTCCCTTTTCCATAGGCCTTTCTCTGATAGTTTTGATACAAGCTAAAATACATATAGTCCACCTCAACCCAAAAGTTGTTATATTTTTAAGGACTGTACTGTATGTGCATCTAGGCTTTTTTTGCTTTTAAGAATTTTACTTACTTCAGGGAGGAATCTCTCCACACTGCTTGCTGGAGACATTTCATGAGGCAAATCTCACACATGAATTATCAAGGTATATTTTAAAATGCACTCAAAATAAAGTTATTGGAACCCTGAACACAAACATAACATGCTTTTCCTTTGGTGACTTTGGTTTCATCATTTAAAATTTGGATACGGGGCAGTTGCAAGAGGGCAGGTCTCTCTGTCCCCAAAAGATCTCCTTCACCTGCAGCTTCAATTCATGAATCCCATCCATAGGGGAAAACTCTTGAGCCTGTAATGAGAATATGGCTTGGGATGCAAATATCCTTGGGAGAAGTAGCAGCAGCTACCTCACACTGAAGTGTAAATAACTTTAGTAAATCTTTTCCTGAAAGGAAGTTTAATGGTTAGGAGGAGAACTGGACAGCTTAGATGCCCCAGATTCCATGGGTAGAAGGAAAGCATTGCAAAATAGGAAGGGTGGGGCCTTGGGAGACATCCTTATCCCAAGCTGAGCCACAAGATGATGACAGTGAGAATGGTCTTGGTATACTCATGGCCTGTATTCTTGGTCTTAGCAACCAACTCTGTAAATTCCATGCTAAGTTAGTTTTCTTAGCCCAAGGGTCTCTGGGTCCATGTTGCTTGTCTACATTTTCCAGCACCCTCTCTGATTTTGTATGTTTTTCAACTGTAATAAAAGTAGCTTTCATTTCTGATCCCCAGTGATTTTTCTGGACTTCCTCTTGTAGAGAAGGAAAAAACTCTTCCCCTTCAAGGTCTTTCAGCTGGACCAACATTTATGACAAATTAACAGGAGAAAAAACCCTCAAGTTTTATTATGGGCACATGGAGGCCCAAAGTGAAATTGAGACCTAAAGAAATTATTACAGCAGGCAATTTGTATACATTTTAGACAAAGAGACAATAAATTGGGGAGGAATTGACAGGATAAACAAAACAGGTGTTTGGGAGCTTTAATTATTAGGGAATTCTAAGCAGACTTTAGGCTAAGGTCTAGTAGATTAGAAAAAAGATAACACGGTTTGTTTCTACAGTTTTCTCAGCTTTGAAGTCCCTATCTCTGGTGACAAGGATGTCTTTTTTTTTTTTTATGATTTTATTTATTTGTCTGAGAGAGAGAGAGCACAAGCAGAGGGAGGGAGAAGCAGGCTCTCCGCTGAGCAAGGAGCCCGATGTGGGGCTCAATCCCAGAACCCTGGGAGGATGACCTGAGCTGAAGGCAGATGCTTAACTGACTGAGCCACCCAAGCATCCCAACAAGGATATCTTTTTACTTTTAATTACAGGGAGAGTGTTTTTCATAAGGGAGATTTGTTTCCTGCTGTCAGAGGGACAGTGGAGGGTCTGAGTAGCTTTAATTCAGAATAATCAATATGCACCCTGATACATTTTGGGTGGCTTGCCCTTGACGCCTACATGCTCCTTTACCTGGAATATTTGGTTTAATACAAATCCCTTTCTCTTGAGGTCCTGATTCTCCCAAGTTTGAATGGAGAAGAGGAAGGGAAAAGGAACAACCCAAGCCTGGAGTTGTGACTCTGTCTTGTCTGCAAAGATGGAAACCTAGATGGGAACAAAAATTCCATGGGGAATATGGAAGTTAGGCCACTCTGGCCCTATGAGTCACCCCCCAGGATATAACAGGGAACTGGGCAAGCTTTTCCCTGGACCCTTTACCCCATTCAATTAAAAGCCATTTTGCTCCATTTTCTATAATAAGGCTCCACTGCTAAATCCTAAGCTTGGCTTTAACACGAACGCTGTGGACAAGAGACACATCCGTTATAATTAACTGCAATAAAAATAAAAATTTTCAGGATATGTGATAAGAATCCATAAGCCACCTTTTCAATTTTTCTAGTTACTTTAAAGAAGAATATTAAATTCTTTCACCAGCTATAAAGTCAAACTGATAGGTTACTCTCTTAAATGTCCAAAATGGCTCTAAAAATGTCTAATAAAACTTTTTTTTATTAGGCAGTCCCCTTGTGGGACATCTTGTGGGTTTTGAAGCTCAGGCAAATCCTATCAATCTCCAGGATATAGAATCAACTTAAAAGGAAAAGAAGTAAAAACGACAGTATTGTTAGGTGTCCAGTAGATGGAATGACCTTCTCAGTCTAGAGAAAGAGCAAAATCATTTTAAGTCCCATTAAATTCAGAGTTATGATTCCCACAGTGAACCTAGCTCTGTGTTCTTTTTTTTTTTTATGTTATGTTAGTCACCATACAGTACATCATTAGTTTTTGATGTAATGTTCCATGATTCAGTGTTTGCGTATAACACCCAGTGCTCCATGCAATACGTGCCTTCCTTAATACCCATCACCGGGCTAACCCATCCTCCCCTCTAAAACCCCAGTTTGTTTCTCGGAGTCCATAGTCTCTCATGGTTCGTCTCCCTCTCCGATTCCCACCCCCCTTCATTTTTTCCTTCCTTCTCCTAATGTCCTCCATGCTACTCCTTATGTTCCACAAATAAGTGAAACCATATGATAACTGACTTTCTCTGCTTGACTTATTTCACCTAGCATAATCTCCTCCAGTGTTCTTGATACCATCATATCTCTGTTACTATTTTAGAGTCTGATTCTGTTCCAAATGTCTTGTCTTTGAGTATCAGGCAATGGGATTTAGACAATCCATAGGGATAAATACCTATTTTATAGATTTGTATTTCTCTGGTATGTAAAGAAAAGAGAGGCAGAGACCACAGCTTTAAACAAAGATGTCTCCACCTTTGTGGATGAACTGCCTTTCTTGGCACATACAGTGTGATGAATTTAGTTTCATCTTTGTATTTTGATATTTTAGTGTTTTTATGCCTGAGCCAGAGCCAAATTGAAAGAAGCTAGGAATTCATTCATTCCTTAATGCAACATCTGTGACAAATACAACTGATACAACTGGTAGACCACACTTAGTGTGTGCAGGTTGCTGTGGCCTATATAGATGTAGACACTGTCTTCCTGAAGGCTCACAGCCTGTTGGGGAGACAGCAGTGAAATCACAGGGGTGATGAGTAGGTTCTGGCCCTGCCAACTGAAAGTGTGCTCACTTTTCTGTGTCCCTCATGAGATAGCAGTGCTTCAAGCTACCTGGAGAGTGTCTTGTTCCCCTTTAGTCTGATTAGAGTGTCTGATGAAAAATTGGTAGGCCAAAGAATGGTTGGGTGGGACTGATAGGCAGAGGGAGTTGTGAGTGGTCTGGTCTACCTGCATTGGTTGCTGGTTTAGCTTTGGGGAAGAAAAAGGTCAGGGGGAAAAAGTGAAAGGCAAGGCAAAGTTAAGAAAGGACCAGATCATGATGGGTCTCCGTGACTTGCCTGGAGAGGTTAGACTTTAACCTGAAGGCACTTGGGAGGCACTGGAGGATTTCCATGCCTGATTGGAATTGTGTTTTATATAATTTGTGGTGTAGAGAGGGCAGATTCGAGGCAGGTGTGGCTGGTGCAGAGTTTTTCCACATCAGCACCATTGACATTTTAAGCTGGATAATTTTTTGTTGGGGACTGTCCTGAGCATTGTATGATGTTTAGCAGCATCCTTGGCTTTTACCCAATAGATGCCAGTAGTACCCCACCTATCCTGATAAACAAAAATGTCTCCAGGTATTGTCAGATGTCCCCTGGGGAACAAAATTGCTCCCTGATTGAGAATCTCTGGGTTGGAGGCACAGAGACCACACAGGAGCCGTTGCATAAGCCCAGGAAATAGAAAAAACAAGGGCTGAATGAGGCAGAGGGAGTGGGGCCAGGGAAGAGACAGTGCCTCCAAGCTAGTAAAACGGTAGAGTTGTTGAGATGGGGTCACTGCTTACCCAGTAGGTAAGCAGCCCGTGGACTCCTGTCCAGGTTCTGTCCTTGTCTCTGAGAATGAAAAGAGTTCAACCTCTTTAAAGATGAGACTGTTGAGGCACAGGAAGGCTTAAGTGACATGTCAGTATCACACAGGGAGTCAATGGCAAAAATGATTTCATTTAGATACTGGAGCCATTGAGAGAGTTCCATACTGTGCATTGCCTTGCTGAGCTTCAGACACGGAGTGGAGGACACTTGGACCTCACTATTCCCCAACCCTGTATAGTGGCTTAGATTCTTATTTTGGAGAGTTACCAAATCACACATTTTGGAACTGGTCCATGAGCAGGTCAAGGTTGGCAGCCTGAGTTAAAAGAGTTGTCTGGTTAGGAATTTTTTTAAGAATCAGGTTGGGAGAAGAAAGAAGGTCCTAACTCTGATCCTTGGAGGCACAGTCTCTGTGAGGTCCTGGGAAGATCCTGGGACCTTGTCTCACTCGGGTGCCATGGTGGCAGTATTTCTGCTGCCATCATGACTCTCTGGGGTTATTACCACTCATTTGTCTGACAAGCTCTTTTTATTCTTCCTAGAGCTTCATGCTTCTCAAAGACAGCTGTGGAGAGCGTTATGGCCCAGATTAGCCCAGTGGCGCTCTGGGAGAATGTGTGACCCCATTCAAATTCATATGACAGGACAGCTGGAGGATTAGCTCTGAAGTTCGCAGTGTCTGGGTAAAGAAAAAACAATATCAGCTCCTAGGCACTGCTAGGCAACAGGAAAGTTTTCAGTATTACCCCAGAGTTGCTCAGTTACAGGATCCATGTAGATTAGTGCTATGGAAAACTTTCTCTGAGAATGGGCAAACCATTTGCAAAGTGTCATGTGGAGCTTATGAAAATTTTGGGAGAAGAAAAAAAATTGAAAGTGGGAATTGTTCCGGGTAAAAATGGCATTTTAAGGAATCATTAATCTGAATAAAATCACATGCCATATGGAGGTAGGGTCTCCATAGTGTAGGTAGCAATATGCTTGGTGGAGTGTATTTTTTGTTATAGAAAAATGCTGGACTATGGTAAAGAAAGTGACTAACGTTAATCATGTAGGACTTCGTAGCTGGCAATTAGTGACACCCAGTGAACATCATTCTTGTCTACCAGAGCAATGGGGCAGGCTGGCATAAACAAAGAAACCATGCTTTCTTCCCCTTGGTAGAAAAAACTAAGAGTTGAAAGTGTGTGACACCCTCCTGCTAGCAAAGTGAAAGCACAGTGGAGACCCCAGAATTTCCATAAAGGAGTGTCTTAGGGTGAATGTGGTTGGATTGAGGGTGGCTTGAAGCTGCACTTGCATATGACTGGGAACATGTCTATACCTGTGGAATAGATGGCAAATGAAAGAGATGATGGAATAGATGGAACAGAATAGGTGGAAATTAAGGAGAGTGGTAAAACTAGCTCTCCTATGCCACCATTTAGCTGTGTGTGTGTGTGTGTGTGTGTGTCCCCCTGTAAATGTTTGTGTGTGTTTGTACATGTGTGTTCGAGTGAATGCATGTATCACAGATGGCGCTCTGTGTGTGGAGGGGTGTGTTTAAAGGGTTGCTTACACTGTCTAGCCCTAACCGTAGATTGCTTAAGATGATGACGTTGAAATTCTAGAAAGTCTGTATGTGAATCTGTGAAGAAGGCATTTTGGGCATATGAAAGGAGTATTGTCCTCCTCATCAAGCATGCCATATCCTTGACCCCATCCCCTCCAACCCAACACATAATAGGTGACCTATGGGACCTACTGCATTTTCGCCTCTTAGGGTCTTTTATTTTTATCTGAGTATAGGTGACACCCAATGTTACATTATTTCAGGTGATTTGACAAGTCTGTACATTATGCTTTGCTCACCACAAGCGTAGCTACCATCTGTCACCGTACAACCCCCTTACGTGACCACTGACTTTATGTTATGCCTTATATTCCCTGATTTATTCATTCCATAACTGGAAGCCTGTGTCTCCCACTCTCCTTCATCTGTTTTGCCCATCCCTCCCTCCAGCCCTCT